ATGTCCTTATTAGTCATTTAATATTGAACAACAGCCGCTAATTATTGTATAGTCAAACAGTTATATTTATCAAATTCGCTATTTACAATCTGCTACCCACTTTCGCTATTCGCTCTCTGCCATCTGCTATCCGCTAACCGTCATCCGCTATCCACTACCGCTATCTGCTATCCACTACCCATTATTCGTTGAATTTTAACCGCGATACCAAACATGCCCAAAGTCTCCATGAAAACATTTTTAAAAAAAATAAAAATTGGGACCTCTTTGTTTTTGAAATGTTAATATCTTCAATTTCAATTATAATTTAGGTACAGTTTATATTATATTTTATTTATTATATAATTTTAATTAGATGTTGTGATATTTTTAATATTACAAAGTTATAATTAGTAGCATCTTCAACCTCTTTTGAAATATATTATTTTCAATACTTTTTTATTTATTAACCCTATAAATCACAATATTTTGCAAAGTAATGAAGTGGCTTTAACTCATTTAAACATATATTCTCCTTTAATTTTGCGATGCACTTATAAATGGAAAAAAAATGTTGTTTAATTCATACAATAATAAATTATAAAGCAAGATTTTTTTATTTAATAATCTTTATTTTTTAACAAAAATTTGAGCAAATTAGTTTCTATTAATTTAAATTTTTTAATTTATGTTTCACGGTCAAAAATTTAAATTTTTATGATAAAAAAGTTAATAGTCTATTTTGCACCCATTGAATTTGGACTGCAGAAGTGGAGGAATTTATAAATGGCTCCCATACTCCTCTGCTTTCTCCTGTCTAACTTCCTTTGCTCCTTCTCTCAATTTCTAAATGTGCATTGACAAAACCCATCTTGAATTCCCCTTCTTCTAAGATGATTTTGGACAAGGTGACTTACAGAAAGCTTATCATATTGCTGCTCCATTTTCTTGATGAAGAGAACTACAAAGAAAGCCTCCATTCGTACGGTTCATGCTTTTCTGATTTTTTTTTTTTCTACAGCTTTTTGGTTCTGAGGAATTCATTTTTTTTTTTTTTGCTTTTGGGGTCATGTAGTATATGTATTAGATGGGGGTTTGCATTCTGGGTTTGCTAGAGAGAGAAAAATTGGTCCGAAATGTCTCGGAAAGCATCTTACTTTCAGTCTTATTAAGTTGAAGATGAATTCTGTGAGGAATTTAGGCCTAAAATGGGTGAACTGAAATTTGTTGAAATTGTTCAAGAATACGGTTTTTTTGTGCATGAATTAGTTCTTTGATTCTTTCACATTGTTGTTTTTTATTTTTTTTTTTATTTTTATCAATTTATGTGGTCATGAAGGTTGGAACGAGAGTCGAAAATTTTCTTCAACATGAAGTACTTCGGGGAACTTGTGATGAATGGTGAATGGGAAAAGGCAGAGAAGTATCTGTCAGGATTCACAAAACCAGAGGAGAATAATTGCTCAAGGGAATTGTTCTTGCAGTTGCGAAAACAAAAATTTGTTGAAGAAGCTCTCAGGTATGTGTTTCCTGATTGACAGAATTGTTATTTCCATCTTGGTTCAACTTTTCAAAAAGGGTCTTGTTTTATCTTACCCTTTGGTTGGTTGATAGCCATTGTGGTGTAAATACTCTTGTTAGGGATGTTAATGCGTTCCAAGAGGTCCAGGATCAATCAGCTCAGCTCTCTCCTTTAGATGATACTAGGCAAGATTTAGAGTTTCTTGGAAAGTTATGATATTTTGACATGGTATCTTTTGTCATATTTTAGTGGAGAATATACATGCAGGGTCAATGGTGAAACGTGTGGGGTTGTAAACACTGCTCCTGCAAGGGCTAAATTGCTAGAAAACCTGAAAACATTAGTGGAGCAAGATCCTGAGCTCCTAGAAAAACTTGGGATTCCAAGTCTTTGTAAATCAGCATTTTGGAAGCTTATCAAACTTATTTGTCCAACTCCCCAAAGGAAATTGAGAAAACTAAAGGTAAATACAGTATCCGTGCTGTGTTTTCAATAAGCTCCATTCTTATGTTTTCCATGTTTGATATGCAAATTTCTAACTGCAGGAAGAACTTGGTTTCTTGATAATTCAGTTCCTTGATGAGGAGAAGTTCCATGAGACAGCTCACGAGTATGTTGTCTTAACTGATTTTTTTTTTTAAATCTGACTTTTTCAAGTACTTAACTATTTTGATACTTGCTTCTTTTGGTGAAGATTGGAGCAGGAATCAAGGGTCTTCTTCAATATGGATTACTTTTGGAAGCTTTTGATTAGTGGTGAATGGGATAAGGTAGAAAAGTACCTTTCAGCGTTCAACCTGGGAGATGATGAGTGCTTGGCCAGGATTTTCTCTGTAATGAAATGCCAAACACGATTTGAAGCTTTAGACAGGTATTATATCATTTTAATTTTTCTTTCCTGCTGTTTTTCCTTCATGTCTTCAGTTTTTGTTTCCCTAACTGCTCTTCTTATTAATGGCTTCTTGTGATTGCCTTTATGACTTAGAAGCAATTGCATGCCTTAAGTAGAATTTATCAGCTACAAACACACACACGCGCATAAATGCAGGGGCACTCTTCTGTTTTCTTCTGTTTTTCAAAGTTTTAGCCAAAAAAAGTGAGGATGTATGTTTCAGAAATGACCATGTGGAAGCAGGAAATTTTCTTTAGAAGATTTTGAAGTTCTGATGAAGCTTCAAGTTTGGGATTCTAAGCAAATTAGTTAATGCTATTTTATTTGCAGAACTTTAGTCACCAAAAAACAAAAAAAAAAATTGATGAATTCTTCCAATTAATGAAATGTACATATTCATAAATTATAATTTCCAAACGAGCACTTCTTTGAAGGAAACATAAACTTTCAAGTCTGTCAATATCATATTTGCAGGGCCAATTTATTCCAATCTGTCAAAATGGTATTGGAGAAAAATCCTTTCCTGCGAAATAAGCTCAAGTTTCCAGACGTGCATAAAGCAAGACTCATGACAATAATTAAACAGACGTAAGTCAACCCATAAATTTCATCTGTTGGTATGTTGCAAGCATCTGATGTAGTTTGTTACACTTTTAGTTCTTTGTATTCTGTAGCATGGACTGGTGGGTTCCGTATTGTGCCAATGCAAATTGGAATATTTCATTTGAAAATATTCCCACGGTGCCAAAGCTTTGTCACATTCAACTCCCGGTTACTAGTGCAGAGCATGATGGAGTGTTACCAGAACCAAGTGGTCTTGGGGTAAGTGAATAAAGATGCATGGACTGAGAATATTATGGATATTGTCATTTTCTTGTAAAAATACAAGTTTTATTCATCCCTATTAACTTTAGTCCAATTGTTGCTGCTGCTTTACCAACAGACTTTTTGTCCTTGCAATGAATCAACTAAGAAATATGGGTTAAGTGCTAAAAAACCTTGTAGAAGTCAGGGAGCAACATCAAAACCAATAGATCATACAGTTAGTGACTCTCTCTGCATGAAGTGATATGGAAAATACTTGATTTGTACGCAATGCATGATCTTCTGTTTCTGTTTTTATCTTTCAGTCCAGGGGCACCACCTGCTGCACTGATGTAAAGCCAACGAATGTATCTGTAGTTTGGGAGCTGGCAGAGATCAGTGAACCCACCCAATGCTGTGCATTGGTGCTCCCTGATGATTCACTGGAAGAAAAGGTATGAGCCTGATGTCTTCGAAGCATTCTGAAATTCTATAAAAGTTAGTTATTGCACCTAATTTCAAACTTTCAAATTTTTGCAAAATAAGTTGTCACTAAAAAGTCTCGCTTTCTTACTTCGATTTTGCTGGCATTATATACTATCAATCAGCATTGAAATCTTTATGATCTCAAGTAACACTATTCTTCATGCATACTGAATAAAAACTGTTTGCGGATGTAAATGCATGCTTAGCAAAACCACTTAGCTAGTAAGATTCTGAGTATGCCACAGCCACATGGTACCAATTCTCCCTAACATTTTGATTTGAAAATAAAACAAATCTTCCTCTAGTCTAAGCTTCTTCATACAAACATCTAGCTAAGGATGATAATAGGAAAATGATGGTTAGGACAAGGTCAAAAGAGGGAGAAAAGCCATGTTTGGCTCTTTTCACTCAGCTGAGTCCCATGATTTGGTATGCATGTGCTGCTTTTATGCATCATGGTGTTTCTTCCTTTTCGGCTTTGTAGCACACTCATGGTATCATGTTGACATCTAGCAAGGTTCTTTATAGCATCTTTCCCTCTCAATGGACAACAATAGAAGGGTTCTGAATCTTATGATATCTATTATTAGGGTTCTTAAGTAGTTCAGTTCATAATGCTTTTGCATGAGATATTGGTTTATCATTTATTTGCTCTGCACTTTGCATGCTCATTTGCAGTTTTGTCCTGTTTTATTCCTTTACTTATTTGTCAAACCCTGACCCAATATTTTGGATTATAAAAGAATGTTAGGTTGGTCTATTCCTATTCCGGGGATTTCATTTTGGCATGGGCAGAAGATGCTACATACAAACTCTGGATATGGCGGAGTGGTCATATCTTGTATAGGAAGGTCTCTCTGGCTATTTTACAGCATGCTTTGCTTTCCCAACACCTATTACTGATGTTCATAAGTCATACATCTTGATGCTCTCTTTCTGCAGGTAAGTGCAAATTTGCAGTCACAGTTATATCATCCTTCTAGTGGAATGACAATGATCAATGAGATAGGAAGACTTCCCCAAGATCCATGCTTTGCACTTGAAAGCCTTGGCCTTTTTTCAGCATTTGGTGGAAGAATCTCTACATTCTGTTGGGATATGTTTGAGGTGAATTATATATTACAGAAATTTGTGTTGTAATTGTTTGGGTAGTTGTCATTTTTCTAGTGGTACTTTGTTCATACTATCATTGACCTTTGGTTTTTATGCAGAAATTGGCAACATTTGCAGATCCCTCACCATCTAGTACATATTTTACTTTCCTTGATCAGAATACCTCTGCCATTGGCTTCAATGATTCTTCTATCTTAATTCATTGTCTCAGCTCAAAAAAGGTCTGTATTGTAAGCAGAGGTTAAAATGTTTGTGTATTAACAATAATCTGTCAATTTGTTTATTATTGTCTATCATGCTTTCATAGAATAAGGTGAAGCTCCAAGGCCACGAGGGGGAAATAACGTGCCTGGTCTTTTCTCACAAATTAAATGTTCTTGTCTCGTCAGGAGCTGATGCCCAGGTAAGTTCCATAGCATTTCCTTTGTTATCAAATTTAAGGAACAGTAGATGTACAACTAAGATTTCCTATTTCAGCAAGTACAAAGAACCATATATTTTGATGTTCTCAAATTAAATTTGTTGAAATTTTTCTGGGTTTTGTTTGTGTATTTTTCATCTACAGCCATCCAAAAATTGCTTATTACTTGTGGTTTTTATTTATGTTTGATAGAGTTGTCATTGATTAACTAGCACTGGCTCATTACCTAGCTCCACTGCCTTACCCCCTTCCTTTTCCCAGCGCTCTTTAAGATGATTCAATCTCACTTACTAAATCCTAGTGCATGATTCTATTTGCTTAAGTTTGTTGCAACGGTTAAACTGTAGTGCATGTGCATGACATGGAGTGCCATATTGTTTTTCAGCTTTGTGTTTGGACTGCAAATGGATGGCAGAAGCTGGTGAGTAAGTTTCTACAGCGTCTTGACGCTAGAGAGGCGCCAGAACCATCTGTGGTAAATCACATGGAGTTTCATCTTGACCATATCCAGCTGCTTCTTGTCCAGGAAAGGCAGATTGGCATATATGAAGCACCCTTACTGCATCCCCTTAAGCAGGTGCTTTCAACAGCCCTGGTTATAAATTTGTATCGTAACAATGAATTCTTCTGATGAAAGTTGGTTTTATTGCAGTGGGTCCCTATAGAATCAGATATCCCAATCACATTTGCTACGTATTCCTGCAATTGTCAGACAATATATGTTAGCTGCAAAACTGGCTGCATTAAGGTTCTTGTCTCCAAGACACTTACCATTAGATGCCGGATTAATGTGACTGCTTATGCACAATGTGCCGCCTGGTAAAGACTTAAAAATATATACAGTTCATCTTTCTCCATCTCTCTCTGCTTCTGATGAAATTTTCCTTTTGCAGTGTGCAAGTCTATCCTCTTTCCATTGCAGCTCATCCCTCTAGACCTAATCAAATAGCCGTGAGGCTTAGTAATGGCAGTGTCCATGTTCTTGAGCCGCTAGAATATGGAGAATGGGGAGTACAGCCACCTACACTGGAAGATGGCATGTACTAAAGCACTAGTAAGGGTGTATATAATTAGCTCCCTTGGGCTAGCAGACAACTGCAGTTTTTTGTCGCTTTTGACTGCTTGTAGATAGATACCAATCAACCTGATACCCTGCAATGGTGGCTAGCTCTTTTGAGTTAACAATCACAAACAGTTTCCTCAATGGTGATTAGCACTGAGATGACAATCCAGTAAACGTGTTTTATTTTTGAGTGAAAGGGAAGCTTCAAAATCTACTTTCAGAAGATGTATGCAGATCGTTTAAGCGATAGAAATGCTACTATTTTGAATGAAAATGAAAGAAAATGAGAAGCATTTTCTGAGCTAGAGAATTTCTTAGTCATTGAGTTATTATGTGCGATGTTTCTGTCTTTTATCTGTAGTCAGTTACAAGACATTTTACGAGCAGGAAATGATCATCTTGCTTCATCCTCTCTGCTGTTTTCATTGATTTGTTGATACATATTACAAGAGCCATTCTCATTGACAAAATTCAGTTCACCACCTAATTTCCTGAACATACAGATTCCGAGTCTCCGATGTCTTCTTCAATAACTGCACTAGTCTCTTCTCTGGTCACACTCATGGTTGATGCTGATGAACCAACAGTTTCTGGTACAGCCTTCTGAAGAACAATTGCCTTTCTTTTGATTCTGCTTTGTTGCCATTTTCTTATCAACTCTGAAACACCTTCATTCCTCTCCTCTCTAGCCCCAATCTGTGGTCCTCTGGATTCATCTACTACCACTGCATCCCTTACTTCATCATCAAAATTTGTTGCTGTCATGGGAAACAAGACTGATCTGAAGCAAGACATGAGAATTACCAGGAAGATTATGTAAACATACAGAGATGTCCACACGTATAATGTCCACCTCCAATTATGCACCAATCTTTTCGTCCAAGGCAACTCTGATTTAATAAGAATTTCAGCTTCATACAATTGAGGGAGAGATGAAGTCCCGGCCCTCGGAACCAAAGAAACTCTAACGGCTTTAGTTCTTGGATTTCCCTCCTTGATGTTCAACATGTCAACAGAAATCTTCTGCGTTTCGCTGGTAAGTCCCAGGAGAAGGGGTGCACCTAAAACAAATGTTCGGCCAAGCCGAATCGGTAAGCTTCTGAATTGCAACATACATGGATGGCTAGACCTAACTATCACCTTCCCAATGCTTGATACGAGTTCTGCATTCAACTGATAAAACTAATCTGTGAGAAAAACCATGTCTATGGCATACCAGTGTACAATTACAAATGTACAAGTAATGTGACACATTGAAGGATGGAAATGACAGATAATGAAAATTAGGTGTTAAAATTGCACATACTTGAAATCTCATTCGAGAATTAATTGTTTTCATTTTTACAGTTCAGTCCATTTTACCTGAAACACACCAATACGGCGATTGAAATCAGATTCAGGCATGAGAAGGACCAGAGAAACATGAAATGTGTGCCCCACGGGAACACCCATCTGCGCCTTCCCCTGGCCGCGGCTGCCGGGGCCAAAGCAGAACTCAGCCGTGGGATTCACAAGGGTGTAATCAAAGTACAGCGTCTCCCTCACATGCACAGGCTCCTCTAAGCACAACTGCACCAACCCAATTCCCACCAGAGCAGCCAGAACCATCACTGCTACCAAAACCATATACACGTGCATCGCACCCAGAAACCCCCAAAAGATTTTTTTCAACAAGACAATGGTGCCATGGCCAATGTTTGAGGGGACATTCTGGACGGCAGCCTTGGCGCTGGCCTTTGCCTCCTCCGCACGGTGGTAGGACTCTGAGGCTACGGAGAAGAGAGAGAAAACAAAGGAGAAAACAGAGACAATGCAGTTGTGAAAGACATCGGATTGAAAGGAGAGGAATTTTAAGAACCAGTCTGATGGTCTTGGCAAAAGATGGAAATTTTGGTCTTGGGGTTGGACATCCATTCGTGGCGGCTGAAGGAGAAGAGAAAGAAATGAAGGATCGGGGGATGATGATGGTTTTTAGGGTTTATGGTGAAACGGAGGAGATACATTGAGAGAGAGAAAACAGGGGAAGGCTACAGATGGTGTGCGTGCATGAGAGGAGAGGGTGAAACGTGGTTGAAAGGCAGTCGTGTGGTAATGACACCTGACTCTCCGACATGATAATTTGTATGTGCGAAAAACTTACGTTAAGCTTCAGATGATGAGTGCTGCCCCCTCTAACTAATAATTATTGTTTTGTAGATGGAAAATAATTGATATATTTTTTGATTTTATACATTTATCAATATTTATTAATATAATTATTAAAATATATAATTTTAAGTTTTTTTATCTTTAATTTAAATTTAAAGTAATAATTTTTATAAATATATTATAAAATGAGTTGAATTAAGAATATATTTGAGTTAAGCAAAATGAAAAAGAGATAAGGAAAAGGTTTTTTGACAAATTAAATTATAATATTTTTAAAACATAATAATTTGAATAGTTAAAAAACTTATTCTTTCTTTTTATTCCTCTTTAACTCAAATATATTATGAAAGATATACTAATCATTATACTTTGTAGTATGGTATAGTCCTAAAAACAAAACATTAAATTCTTTTTTTAAATTATCATAATTTAAAATTATTCCTCCCCTTAACATAAACCAAAATAATAATAATAATAATAATAATAATAATAATAATAATAATCTTCTCATGGCTAGAGGCTTGGGAATATTTAGATTAATTATTCAAATATAGTTAGTAGTTGATAAAAAATATATGACAGTTAATAATTGTTTGTTTACAATTTAAAATATTTAATTCAATATCCCTTTAAGCATTACTTTCACAATACTCCTGCATATCTTTATATTTTATCATCAGTAAACCATAACTGTTACACCAGTTTCACATAAAATTGATATCCAACATATCTACTAATATTTAGATTAACTAATAATTTTATTATAGTTAATCAAACAAAAATAGTTAAAAATAAAACTAAAGCA